ATCATAGTTTTCAAGATGATAGGCAAAAACACTGAAAAATTGGTAAATATCGCCATTAAAGGACAAGAACTTTAATAATAAGTCGACTGATGATTTCAGTTCTGCTTATTTATTTGAAGATATTGTCTAGCTAATAATTCTTGCTATCTAAAGTGACTGTGTCTACTAGTATCTATCTATTATAGTTTCAATATAATAGGCAAAATCATTAGAAATTCTTAAAAATCGTTAGTTAAGAGCAATACCCCAATAACGAGTCGACTGAAGAATACTTATTTGTAGATCTTGTCTTGCTGATCATTTTTGCTATTTAAAGTTTCTATCTATCTATTGTAGTTTTAAGGTACTAGTAATAGGCAAACACGCAAAAAATGGTTAAAATGTATATTAAAAGACAAAAACTTTAATAAGAAGTCGTCTGACGATTTTGCCAATGTTGACTTTTTGTAGATCTTGTCATGCTGATAATTTTTGCCATTAAAGTTTCTCTCTATCTATTATATTTTCAAGATAATAGGCACTTTTTCAAATGGTAAAGTTCGTCCTATAAAAAGTCGTCTTACAGATTTGAAATAAATAGACAATAGGTAGAGTTCAACATTCCGAACATTTCTGTCGCTGTCAGATTTTTTCTATTTATGACGGTTTTCAAAATAATATTCAAAACTTGCATTTTACACATATGTTCTATTTTTAGCTCTGTCGGCCATCTTGGTTAGCAAGCGGGCTCATTGGACAGATTTTTAAAATTAGATACCCCAATGATGAATGTGGCCAAGTTTGGTTAAATTTGGCCCACCAGTTTCAGAGAAGATTTTTGTAAAAGTTAACGGGCGACGACGACAAACGCTTAGTGACCAGAAGAGCTCACTTGGCCCTATGGGCCAGGTGAGCTAAAAATCTTACATTTTTAACTTGGTATACCCTATATACAATTTTAAGTGCTAGAATAAACAAGGAATATTTGACAACTTTGAGTTTAAAAGTGGTAAAGATTTAATGCTGATGTCGCGCAACTGCAAATTCGGGATGCCTTGTCATGATGTCGCGCAACTGCAAATTCGGGATGCCTTGTCATTTAACATTGGCAATCCCTGTGGTTGTGTGTACAATATTTTTTCTTCTCAAAATATCATTGACATCGTGTCTAGTGTCATCTGCATCTGTGATTCTTTTCCCTAAGTTTTGTGTTTTAGTATAAATAAATAACACCCTCCTAAAAGCAAGAACAAAATGTAATCAGTATAAATAGAAGTGTCTCACTGTTTTTTTATAAATAGAATTATAGTTACTAGTAATTGAAATCGCTGTTTTCAAGTTCGATATTAATCAACTTTTACCCACATATTATATATTACTTTCTGTGGCCCTTACTGTCATTCTACGCAAAGTATTTTGTCGGACCTTTGAAATACTTGTGTTATTTTTATAATGATGTGTTTTGTAAATTTAGGATTTTTAAGGGAAAAAGAAACATGAGAAAATTACGTACAAAATACAGGTTTACAAGTCTTCACATATTGTGTCTGAAAGGTTCTTTAAAAAAAAAAACTTGGAGTGTCTGGTTTTTCAAGATTTTCTTAAAGGGTTTTTTCCGTGCCGATGAGCTCTTGTAGAAACTCATCCTGATGGATGATCGCTCTGATGTGTAAATGCACGGCATGTGCAGTCATATCCATAAGCACGTGTTGAGAAAATATATCCCTTATAAAAGGCTGCATGATTGCCAACTTTTTATAAAGACGCTAGGACAAGTATGTAGACAAAAAAGGAACCCTCCAAAATCGGGGGTGATGTCAGGTGCTTCGGAAGGGTAAGCATATCCTGTTCCACCCGTTGTGATGATCATAGTAAGTAGAATTCGGTTTTAAGTCTCATTATAGGGGATGTCAAATTGAAGAAAAGAGGACAAGAGAATGGCTATGACAATTGGTACATATCCATGGTCATCTGTGACACAGAGGAATATGAGAATGGCTATGACAATTGGTACATATCCATGGTCATTTGTGACACAGAGGACAAGGGAATGGCTATGACAATTGGTACATATCCATGGTCATTTGTGACACAGAGGACAAGGGAATGGCTATGACAATTGGTACATATCCATGGTCATTTGTGACACAGAGGACAAGAGAATGGCTATGACAATTGGTACATATCCATGGTCATTTGTGACACAGAGGACAAGAGAATGGCTATGACAATTGGTACATATCCATGGTCATTTGTGACACAGAGGACAAGAGAATGGCTATGACAATTGGTACATATCCATGGTCATTTGTGACACAGAGGACAAGAGAATGGCTATGACAATTGGTACATATCCATGGTCATTTGTGACACAGAGGAAAAGAGAATGGCTATGACAATTGGTACATCTCCATGGTCATCTGTGACACAGATATTCAATAACGGTCAACCAACTCATGATGGCACCATTTAAACTTCAACTGGGATGTCCTAAAAATGCATGGAATACCATAAATTGAGAAACACTTTACAATGCATGGACTCGTTATAATGTATCAACATTTCGTGTGTATCGTAGAATAGATGTCATCTAAATAACCACCGAGATGACCTAAGAATTCCGTAGGTCATATGACCTGATGTAAACATAAATATGAATACACAAGCAAGCACGTGTAATCGTATAATGACGGTTTTGCTAGGTCTGTTTGCTTTCACATCATTGATTAAAAAATATGTAAATCATCGTTTTACCTGTATTTGAATGACTTTTTGGTAGGCAGAATCAGATCTTCCCGGTGGTGGCTGACTTGTTTCACTTTTAAAAGTATACATATTTATTTAGGGGCCAGCTGAAGGACGCCTCCGGGTTCGGGAGTTTCTCGCTGCATTGAAGACCCATTGGTGGCCTTCGGCTGTTGTCTGCTCTATGGTCGGGTTGTTGTCTCTTTGACACATTCCCCATTTCGATTCTCAATTTTATTCTTTTCTTTTTTATAACTAAACTAGCTGTCAGTAACTGCGAGTACTCTCAGATCTGTACTTAGTGTCTTTTTTGTTGTGGGGATGTATAAATACCCTGTCACGTCCAGTCTGTGTTTTTGTTAGATGTTTTTTCTGCATTGTATCGATCTGATGAGTTAAGCCCCTTTCAACTGATTTTTATAATTTGTTCATATGTTGTACTGTTACACGACTGTCCCAGGTTAGGGGAAGTGTTTGGCGCCAACAAACTAGTTTAACCCCGCCACATTCTGTTAGTGCCTGTCCCAAGTCATGAGCCTGTGGTTCAGTGGTTGTCGTTTGTTGCTGTATATCACATTTGTTTTTCTTTCATTATTTTGTATATAAATCAGGCCGTTAGGTTTCTCGTTTGAATTGTTTTACATTTGTCATTTCGGGGCCTTTTTATAGCTGACTATGCGGTATGGGTTTTGCTCATTGTTGAAAGCCGTACTGAACCTATAGATGTAAACTTCTATGTCATTTGGTCTCTGGTGGAGAGTTGTCTCATTGGCAATCATACCACATCTTCTTATTTTTTATATTAGCCCATGCGTAGCCCATCCCAGTTAAGGTTCGCATGGATACGGATTTGAATGAGTTGAATTATTTACTTGCAATTCCAGTAATACATCATCAATGTTTTGAGCTTTTTGTGACAAAATTGAACCAAACTGACTGCTAATACCGAAATATTATTTCACAATTATTCCTCTATTATAAATGTTTGAAATAGAAAAAAATCATATGTCCCTTTAAGCTACCAATAATCAATCAATCAATCAAACGGGCAGACTTCAACTTTAACACTAGGAATCCTTGGTTCAAATGCGTCCCTATAAGCAGCAAGAAAATCATGATACGAAACGCAAGCTATCGAATATTGTATCAAGTTGGAGATACTCGAAATGCAGGTGCTTCTGGAATGTTGCTACACAGAAATGGAAAAGCTGAAATCATCTCTTTTGTCGTAAAGTTTTGTTCTCAACCGAACCTTATTGGCATTTTCTAGATATAAGTAAAGATATGAAACAGACTTAACTGCATCTGTAGTATCCTATATTTTTTAAAAGTTCAATGGGATAGATGCATTCAACATAGCCACCAAACTTTGGGATCATTTAGCAAGGGACATCATCTATATAGAGGAACGTAAAGTTAAAAAATCATGCCAATTTCTTTTTATTTTTCCTGAGAGAGGCTCTAGTATAAAGTCGGCTCCATATGAACTATAGTAAGCTATAAAAGGTATGACAAAATCTGAATCAATTAAAAACAAGTGGCCTGATTTATTTTGCAACAATGAAAGAAAAACAAATATGGCAAACAACGTTTTCTTTCTATTTACAAACCTGTAATAACGCCTTTTCCTGTATAATCCTAACAAAATGTGTTAATTGTCACAACCTGTAGCTTAAAAACAAGCTGTGTTTCCTACAATTTGTATCATATGTTTGGATGGACATGATACGATACTAAAAATACGTTTTTGTTAATTGAAGGTGAATTACGAGGTTAACCTGATAAAAGCCACCAATGCCCCTTAAATGGTTTAATATCAGGGTAGGATTCTGTTTTTCCATCTTAAATCATGTTAACCCGTTTTTTTTTCGTTTTTTTTTTTTTTTTTTTTTTTTTTTTTTTTTTATTGATGTTGAATTTTTGATGTTTGATACCGAGAAATTTTGGTATTTCCTATATTTCATTGTTTGAAGACCACATATCTGTAACAGAAAGGCCTCCTTTGTGAGTGCTCGCTGCGAGTGCAGACGATTATATGTTCGAATTCGTCTTGTTCAAAAGAGTAATGATCACAAAACTTATAGTCAGCATTATGTGTCCATGCAGGTTTTCCACACGAAGTTAAAGTACGTTAACAAAACCATACGTTAAATGACATCTTAAATATAATTTAGAATAAAAATTCAATAATTCCAATAAATTTATATATAACTGTAAATTTTCTTTTACAGGAATTCGATATAAAGGCAAATAGTCCTTGACTTTATAGATTTGTACTCAACAACTTTTAAATGTTATTTATTTTAAAGATATTAAGTAAACAAAAACTGATCGTCAGTCACATATCAAGACCCTTTACTTATTCAAATTTAAAATAAAACGACCACTATGAATGAATTCTACCCGGATTTGCATATTTGAAGATATTTAAAACGGGTGTGAACCAGGAACTGTATCAAACAGTAAAGAACGTCCATTTACTAGTATTTGAAGGAGTGTATCACAGTGATTTAAATAAACTTCATGTAATATCTTTACACACATCAAGTTCCGGGAATTTCCATTTCTGACATTCCTTCCAACCGTACGTATATACCTTTAACAAGGAAGTCTAGTACTCTTAACAGTTTGAATAATGCAAAAATTCTACCAATTACTATTCAGCAGTGTCAAGTTATATTATATTGTACTACTATTGCGATACAATTTGTATGAAAGCTTTTTTGATTTTTTAATATAAAAAATCACCTGTTATACATAAACCTTATGAAAGCTTTTTAAAATCACGATATATACAGATGAACCTTAACCTGAGTGAACTGGAACACCTTATCACAAGCATAGTCTATATGAAAGAAAGTATCTTACAATGTACAAATGTTTCATTATAAACTATATACATATTAACCATATAAGAGTATTTGCGATGAAAAAGATAGTCCAACATGTCCTTGAGTTCAAATAGCCCACAATCTTTATAAAATTATGAAATAAATAACTTTGATGATTAATTTTATAAAGTTAGACTTTACTTAAAACCAATCTTTGATAACATGGAACAAAAAAGTTTTACATGTTATGATGTAGAGACCATATGAGAGAAAAACTAGGTGTTTGAAGAAAATAAGTTCAATCAGGATCAAAGATAAAAATAAATTAACGCTAACACCATTTAAAATAATTCTGAGGACGTCCGAAAATTTCCATCAGATATTTGTTCATGAAGATACCACATCGATCTATTCCAGAATCAAATTTTAGTTGAGTGAACTTGTTTATGTTGTCTCCGTATGTCTCCTTTATTATGTCCACTATTCCAGGAATATCTGTGTGACGTTTTGCCCAGTGTGGTCTAATTTTCTCTTGACGGAATTTGTGAACAAACTGAAATACCAAGTAAATAAACTGTTAACCCAGAGATATGTCTCGCCTTTTTGTACTTTTGATAATACAAATGTTGAAATTAAAATAGCAATACTTTAACATGTAAGTTATGCAAATATTCAAAGTCAATGAACCATGACTGAAGGTACATGGCAAAACAATCTCCATGGAAATGCGATGTGCTAATGCTAATACAACTGCATACCAAATACCATAGACTTATCATAAGTCGTTCCCTTTCAACAAACCTAAACACAAACATTGACTTGTAAAATATGTAAAAGTTTCAAAGTCAATGAACCATGATGAAGGGGTGGGGCTATATAATCTCCATGGAAACGAGACTTGCAAATGTCAATAAATTTGCATACCAAATATCATTGACTTCATTAGCGGTTCGTCTTAAACTGATCTAATCACAAACTAATACATGTAAACTAAACAAAAGTTTCAAAGTCAATAGACCATGACTGAGGACGTGGGACCAAATATTCAGCATGGAAATGAGAAGTGCTAATGCTTATACAATTGCATACCAATTAACATTGGCCTACCACTAATGGTTCCCCTTGAACTGACCTAATCACAAACTAATACATGTAAACTAAACAAAAGTTTCAAAGTCAATAGGCCATGACTGCGGGGGCGGGACCAAATATTCTCCATGGAAATGAGATATGCCAATGCTTATACAACTGCATACCAAATATCATTGACTTACCAGTAGTGGTTCCCCTTAAACTGACCTAATCACGAACTAATACATGTAAACTAAGCAAAAGTTTTAAAGTCAATAGACCATGACTGAGGGGGCGGAGCAAAACAATCTCCATGGAAATGAGATATGCCAATGCCTATACAACTGCATGCCAAATATCATTGACCTACCACTAGTGGTTCCCCATAAACTGACCTAATCACAAACTAACACATGTAAACTAAGCAATAGTTTCAAAGTCAATAGATCATGACTAAGGAGGCAGGGCCAAATAATCTCCATGGAAATGAGGTGTGCTAGTGCTAATACAACTGCATACCAAATATCATTAACCAACCACTAGTGGTTCACTTTAAACTAGACCTAATCACAAAATAATACATTGTTGACGCCGCCGCCGCCGCCGGAAACAGCATACCTATGTCTCGCTTTTTGACTCCGTCAAGGCGAGACAAAAAGTAACACAAATTAAATGGTTGTGGATATTAACAAAATGTTATACTTACTTGAAGTGGCAATTACAAATTGGCATATTTTAGTGAAAAGATTTGGCCTTCCTACTGTTTTTATTCGAGCTCCAATGACGAGTCTTATGCGGACGAAACGAGCGTCTGGTGCATAAGATTATAAGCCTGGTATCTTTCGTGGTTTTTGTCCCAGTATACATATTTCACCAACAGAATGAAAATATGTAAGAAGTTTTTGTATTATTTTTTAAGTTCTAACTATCGTAGCCTAATGTCCACTTTTGGCAACAATGTAATATTTTTGAATATTTTAGAAAATTATAAATGCTTATTGATAGCTCAACATTTCTTTTATTAGATTGAAAATCAAACGATGTATTGTTATTAATTTGGAATTATCAATTTTAATAAAATATAAATGTAGGTTCTGTAAGGAATAGGACGACTGGGATAAAGGGCGGGAAATCCGTACTGCCACTGAAAAATGAATGTATGTAGGGCAGAAATAGTGCTTTGCAACAGGTCACCAACGGACCCCTCATAGTTTTGTTCTCATAGTTTTGTTGCATGAGTTCTTCTAGATGACTAATTTTATGTTGTTATCTCGTTGGGGAGTTTTGTTCATATTGTTATTTTTAGAACAGGCGAATCCTTGATTTTACCGGTTTTTACGAATTCGAAAAATTGTTCCAACCCCTGGTACCCCACTTGACCCACTAATTTCATGTTACTGTGTCATATATGGATAGCTTACTCACTGGCAATCATACTACGTCTTCTTTGTATATATTGTCATAGTGTTTAAAATTCTCCACACGTTCTTATAACTTTATACGGATAGAGAAGGGAAAGGAACTAAAATATTCAACAAAAAATATATGATCCAATTTGATTTAAACGTCTCGTTCACGATTTAAATGAGTGAACGCTTATTCATGAGGAAAAAGCGAAAGGTTCCGTATTGCCAAATGACATTGATATATTAAAGCCCGTAGGAAGTTCTTCCATTGCTTCATGTAAAAGGAACTTACATCTGCTGCTGTATCATAAAATCCAAACTGTGTGGGCGGTGCTAGAAAATCTATTACCATAGAACGTCCAGAATCGTCGTCTTGCTTAATTCCGTTGTTTCCAAAACACAACAAACAGTCCATGTTTTGGAGAAATCTCGGTAAAAAAGCATTAAGAGGAGACGACCCCATAGTTTTAATCTGACGTTCCACCTTTTCTGTCATGAACTATAAAAGAGAAATATTCATCATAGATAAATGTTAAAGCATCTCAAACCCATGTTATTTTTACTTTGCTCCATTATTTGCTACGGCCGTATGCACAAATTTTATGGATTTAAATCGATCTATCAGTGTGTGATTTGCAACGAACTCAATTAAGGTACTACATGTATCATTCTAGTTTTACGAATCACCATGTCTGTATGTCTGCAAGTTGTGTCCGGTTCTGGATTTTTTGGATTCATGTTACCCATAACGAGCTTGTGTCGCAAATAAGTGTGGACTGTCGGACTGCAAGGTTGATGTCAAGGTCACAAACTTATTTCGACTATATATCCACATATTCAAATAAACAAAAGCTTTTGAATGTCTTGAAAGATAGTAAAGATTCTAGGCATTATTGTTGTCCATAACCTGAGTGTGTGTCGTAAAAGAGGTTGGAATGTCTATTTCCAATGTTAAGGTCACATAGTTTCAAATATACAAAGTCCTTGGAGACTAGGAACATTTGAATGCCTTTTGAGATATCAAATGCAATAATACATGACTTTATTGTTGGTAAGGTATCAACGGAGTGTGTGTCTCGAATAAGGTTGGAATGTCTGTGAGTATAAAATAAGGTCAAGGCATCAAACATCAACGGAGTGGGTGTCGCGAATAAGGTTGGAATGTCTGTGTGTAAGGTCAAGGCCACACACGTCAACGTAATGTGTGTCGCGAATAAGATTGGAATGTCTGTGTGTAAGGTCAAGGCCACAGACATCAACGGAGTGTGTGTCGCGAATAAGGTTGGAATGTCTGTGTGAGAGGTCAAGGCCACAAACATCAACGGAGTGTGTGTCGCGAATAAGGTTGGAATGTCTTTGTGTAAGGTAAAAAACTTAATCCAATTGTACATCCCCCATATTTAAAATATGTAAAGTCATGTCCGACTCAGAACTAGCTATGATACTTCGCTTAGTTGCTAAATTTTACGTCAGTTGGTCTCTGGTAGAGAATTGTCTCTTTGGCAATTATACCACATCTTCTCATTGTGATAATGAATGACTATACTATTTGGTATTCATATTGTTGCCCATTACAGGTAGGTTGCGAATAAGGTTGGATTGTGTGTCTGCAAGGTCAATGCCAATACTTAGTATATTAAAGTGAATGCGAGGGTATAATTTTATGACTCGCAGTACCTCTGGTTTCAAACAATAAGAATAAACATGATTTTTTTTAGGGTGAAAAAAAATAATTGAATAAAAATATACATTAGTCTCACCTGAAAGGCTCTAAATGGTCGTGAAAACTGGTTATCAATGTTAAGTACAAATGCTGCGCTGGTTTCTGATCCGTGTATTGGTATATTCAGGGTAGGAAAGGCATCCACTAAATAATGGTAACTAGTGGACGGAAGTTCCTTGGCTATTGCTAAAGCTCCCTGGAATAAGTCATATGTATAATTTAGTTAGACAATGAAATACGCAATTAACGTCAAAACGTTACTAGTAAATCTGTCAATACAAAGGTCTCAGTGATTTTTTTAAAAACTTTAATCAAATAAAATGTGGTAGTTTCTTTCACCATCAAAATAATTTGTATTTCAATCAAAATTTCCACTCACCTTTCCACGGAGAATTCCTGTTATGTTTCCACCAGAAAGAGATCCACCCGTTGGTAAAAACCCTGGACCTTCAATAGTATAACCATCTGGTACACTGTCAACTAAAACGATTGTTCTGAAAATAATATAACAATCGAATGAAAAGAAAGTAACGAAGCCATTCAGAGACATTACGATTTGAATAAACACTTCACTGTGTACGTTTCTTTTTTAAACTTTAAAATACAATTGACTCAGGTGCATTGCATTTGCGCGCATTACCATTACATTTGCGCACAAAAATCATTACGTTAGCGCAGCTTTTGGTTACATTTGCGCGCATATTTTTACAGAAAACTCAGGTAAATACAGGTAGATTATACTTATTTAACTATGATTTTCGAGCAGAATAAGTCCGTTTTATTATGCGCAAGCCTTAGTCCTGGAAATATATGCAGATAAAAATGCAAATCTAAAGATTAAACGTACTGGTTTTACATATCGTACACTAACGTGCAGAATATTTTCGTTAGGCGCCCATTGACCTGGCAAAATTATCAATATTTGGTAACATGCTAAACAATATTTTTTTCTTTTTTTGTAAGCAGAATGTCTCTGTACGGAAAAAAATAATTCTTGTTATCTTTATTATAATTTGTTATTGATAATTACAATGCCATGCCGCGTGTTCTACATGCAAGTCCGTTCATTTGATGATAAGTTAATGAAAACGCGGACTTACAAGACAAACGAAATTACCGGACCCAAAATATATTATACAAGTTACCTTAGCCATACGAGGTCTCTTCCAACTGTCCACGAATCGAGGACGGTGTTGTTATGAAGAAAGACCTTTTCTTCCTCTGGTGTGACGGAATTGAATGGGTACCACGATATTTCTGTCAAAAAGTGTGACGTCACAGTTTCTCTTAGATTCGTTTGATTGTAGAACAAATCTGCTAAAGGTACGAACTGGTTTTGTACTTGGGCAATTAGAGTTCCATTCACTTGAATTGTAATGTCATACATTATACCCATCATTCCTAAATTGCACATAAGGGCTTTCATTAATTCTGTGTGACTCTCAATGGTAAATTTACGCAGACGACCACGCGCATCCATAAGTCTCAATTCTACAACATAGCCACTCCAGGTCGGAGCATTCCAAGTTGATCCCTAAAAAAAAACAGTATAAAGAAAGTTTATCTTATTCGACCCGTTTATGCCACTTTTATATTCATTTATGTAAACAGAAAAATGTTTTATTTATTTGTGTCAGAAAAATAACACCATATAGTGGTATTATATCTCTCTGGTTTCGTTTATTCAATTTCATTCTCAAGCAGGGGTTAAACCTTGTTTAAGTTGGATAATTCTTTACATCGGTAATGGCTTTTAAGCACTCATGATATGCATGTGAAACAGAAGGGAAATAATCTTTGTTAGTCAGAATCTTAAAATATATTCATAAGAAAAGGTTGACATAAACACACCAGTGATTTTTTGGGAGTAATGTCCCTTAACCTCGGAATACACCCCCCTTTTTTTAAACCTACATGTGTAGATAATGCTAACATTCCACCAACGGTTTCATTGACATTGAGTGGTTGTGATAACATTGATAAACCATTCTTCACTAAAAATTCGTTTAAGTCATATTCATAAACACCAGTTATTACTGTGACTGTGTAATATGGCCTCATTTGGTTCTGAAAAAAAAATATATTACTTTATTTCATAGAATTTTGTATCAAATCAAATAATTGAGTATATAAAGTTCAGTAATCAAGTTTATCCTGCAATCAGCCAGCTATTGTACAAATAACAGGTACACATAAATTTTTACTTTATTTGTACTTGTACAAATAAAGAATTCTGTTACTCCGCTTCCTTGTTGAGCAAACGATAATTGAATATTTTTTTTTGCATACCAGTTCATTTCGCGATCCGCGTTTAAACTATGCCGATTTCTTTGAAAAATCAGAGACAACTATTTAGATTTAAACAACTAAACCTTAAAGTGTCGGGTGTAAATTACAGGATAAAAACAATATAATTATGTATATTGTCGGAAATATACAATTCATGTGTACTCTCTACGAAACAGGAGAAAAGCTCGGCGAGCCTCGCTTTTCGTCCTGTTTCTAAAGCTCGTACAAATAAATTATATATTTTCCAACAATGTACATATATTGTATATGAACTATGCAATGAAATAAGAATAAAGTGTACAGTAGTTTTGATCCATATTCAAAGAAATCTGCACGTGTATAAATTATACATTTTTTATTTCGACATTTCATTTTGTAACCGCTGAGATGAAAGTTTAACCGAGTGTACGATGTTAAAACGTATAAAGAATGAAATATGTGATCACGTAATAAAATTAATTAAATTATTAAGATATCCTTACAGGTTTGTGAAGTTCCATATCCGGGCCATCGTGACGCTTGAGGTCACGGACGTCCATCATTATATGGCCTTCGTCAGGGTATAACGGTGATCTCGTGTGTCCAGCACCCGTTGCTCGTACACGAATACCTGTCATAGAGGCAGCTTTTATCACTCGTGCTACTTCCCAGATAGTTGTTGGTTTAACATAAAACAGATTGTCTATAATTATAGTTTTATCCCAGTTGATGAATTGTCGTATATGAACTCGAGGTCCTCTCCGGCCGATCAAATATTCCAACAAACTTAGCTGACTTCTCATCCTCTTGTAAACTTCTGAAAAATTGCAATTATAGTGTTTTTTATGTTGGCTGTGTTGTATGGAGTTGTTTTATAGGTTCTGTTTAATTTATTCACAAGTTTTATAGACTCATGACGATTTTGGACGATTTAGAGCTTGACAACTGTAAAAAAGAGATGCGAAATATAGCAAGGGGATATTCAAACTCATAAGGGAGCTACCATTTGATTTTTAGGGGAGGGGGCAGGATGAAAAATTTTGTCCTGGGTTGTTTTAGTTGTAATCTCTGTCCTGCCTTTTTAATTTTCAAATTTCATCCTTGCCCTGGAAAGTAGCATTCAATGAATAAAATTGAGAATGGAAAGTAGCACTCAATAAATAAAATTGAGAATGGAAAGTAGCATTCAATGAATAAAATTGAGAATGGAAATAAGCATTCAATAAATAACATTTATAATGGAAAGTAGCATTCAATAAATAAAATTAAGAATGGAAACGGGGAATGAATGTGTCAAAGCCGGAGACTAACAACCCGACCAAAGAGCAAAAAATGAATATTTTTAGAATTAGCTTGTTTCAGGCATGGTGAAGTCATTATGGTAAAAAAAATGCAAATATTGTTAAATACAAGCAGATTATGTCTTCAAAACACAAATCAAAACTGATTAAACTTTGTAAATTTATAAAGATTATCAACACAGGTATATGTGCTCCTGGCTAAAATGTATTTCATATATTGTCTTATCAATTGTCTTGTTTGTTCTGTCTTATTGTAAATATTGTACATAAATGTCTTCTCTATACCTATGTATATGGTTTATTGAGAATAAAGATATAGTCATAGAGGGAAAGGTTACAAAAACCATAAGAGAAAGGAAAGAGCATAATTAACAAATATCTATCTTGAATCAATTAATCAATTGATTGATTGAAAGATTGATGCAGACATACCGTCTAACAACAAATAATTTAGGACATCAACACTATATATCAATATGTAGGATCTTAAATGTGGGTCCATAATGTATGGTCATTGGGGACAGTACAGTCGATTCCACTTAATTGCATACCGCTTAATAGCATAATTCGGTTAATTGCATACTTTTCTCCTGCACAAAACCATTTCCCATTCATCTTATGTTAAATTGTCCGGTTATATGCATAGACTTACAAGTGGCCTTTCGGTTAATTGCATAGAAAATATTCGCCAGCTAGATATGCTTATAGTTATCGATGTTATTTGACTCCGTAATTTGGCATTTCGGATATAAGCATACTCCGCTTAATTGCATAATTTTGTCTGACAAATAGGCTATGCAAATAACCGGAATCGACTGTATAAACAACTCATCATCTTCGGACCAATTCCACTAAAAAGGGGGTACAGGATAAAAGGGGGGAAATACTAAATGAAAATAAATTATAACAATGAAAGAAGTTAATTGCACGCAAATGATATAAATATTGTATTTCTGTCTAAATGAAAAAGAAATGCATTTTACAAATAAGCTTACCGTTGCTTCTTGCAATTTCGTCCATCTCGGCAACATTGTCACCTGCAGCTCTACGATATCTTGTATGGTCATCTTTTTTTAGTTCAATCCCTGATACAAGTAGCATGAATGAAAGCAAAAACACAAATTGTAATGCTTTCATATTGTATCTGTTATTTTCAAAATCTATATTGTAAAGCCAATCTGTATAGGTGGATGATCTCCTAAAAAACCCGAACGATAACTCGAGTTATGAGTTCTTTAACGAACACCCTCACAAAGGACTCCCGTTTTTTTCTACAACCTTTCTATGTATTTTAAACACAAAATTAAATGGCATATGATTCAGTATTCTACAGTTAAAACCACAAGATCATTAAGTCCGGTTCTAAGGTGCTTGTTCTGTTTTATATTTAAAAGAAAATGAAAAGAGAACAAACATCCTGGTACTGTCATGACCTTATCACAAATATGACCCAGGAAGTTCAGAAACTAAGTAAAAGGCCTTTAAACTGACACTTGGCTTTTTTTTCATAATTGTACAACAGTCTTAGGTCAAAAGTGTTTCACCTGTCGGAAATTCCCCTATTATTTCATATAAAAACACATCTTTCATAAAAATTCTACTGAAGATATTTCGTACCCAACTTGAAAGATTTTTTCCAGTAAATACAGAAATGTCCTCAGTTTCTTGCAAAAATTATGAAATATGTTTATGATTTATATTTTTAGGGAAATCACTGTTTAAAGACAAATATGAATTTCTGCACATATTCATGGGATGCCTACATCTTTTGGTCTGTAGACAAAATACTGGTAAACATGTGTTGGTATTCAAGGAATAGTATATACGATTAAAAGGTGTCTTCAACCTATGTAAAAAATAACATTTGAAAAGGGGCGCAAGACATTTAGGCTAAATCATAAGCGTGCCTATTGTATCTATTTGGGCTTAAATATTTGAAGCCAAGTTTGCTTTTGGGATAATTATTTTTCTTAACCTTTATCCGTTTCAGGTTAATTACAGGTAAAATTTATCAATATCAATATTTGATATGAAACAGGATGTGATTCACTGTCCACAACATCATGCAGTAATACTTTCACTTTCTTGTTTGACAAATTTACACCGACGAAGGTAAATGTTGCATTAGTCACGATCCGTTCTTTTTTATTTGAATAGATAATAGCTTCAAATTCATATTTACTTGGACGAATACGACAAAGATTCGCTCGAAAACGAGCTTCATGAAATATTGTCATTTCGGGTACTTGATAAGGTTCAATTTCCTTTGCTTATAAAAATAGTTTGATGTATTGTGCAGGATATTATGCCTTGAGTTAACGGAACTTAATGAGAAGTGTTATCGAATAGCAAGATTAAAGTTTAAATAATTTATTTACTCAACCCTGTATTACTTTGCTCTAAAGAAAACCCAAGTAAGAAAGAAAAATAAAATGTTATATTCAAATTAAAACAAAATATGCAATACAAGCGAAGTTAAATTTAGCTATTTTAAAATTAAAAAGGATGCAGGTTTTGTGTTGAAAAAATATATTATTCACCCTCACCCATATATAATATATATGATTATATTTTTATAAGCTGATTTGAATACACTCATCGAGTGGTTTAAAATTAATGAAATGCAGGCAAATCCTGATAAATTTCTAATTTTGGCAGTGGGTATGAAAACATATTGGATAAAATCAATCCAATTATAAATCATTAAAACTCGTTTACACAGAGATATGTCTCGCCTCTTTGTAATTTTGATCGTAAAATGTTGATTAATTGATTGTTGGTTGCTTAAAGTCAAGTGGCAAATAATTCATGCATGTTCAGGACGAGAACAAATTAACAATAAATACAATAGATAGGTCCGGTAATAGAGGTCAACTGGGTTGCAGTTCAGGATAATTTGGACTGCCACGGGAAAATGAGGGTATATTGGATAGGGACAGAAATTTAGCCTTGCAACAGACCACCTACGGACCCCTCATAGAGTTGTTGCAAGGGGTCTTAACGTGCAGAGAGTGTGACACTCTCTCTACACGAGGCATCGGATTAAACGTCCCCATTCTGACCGGACTGTGTACTTGATACATCCCGCACAGCCAAACGGACGCCCTACTTTGGCAAGGGTTTTACAGCCGGTCGGAAGAAGACCTGTAGTGAGCATATATCTATTCTCCAGTCATACTTGGAGAGCGTAAAATGTTGAAATCAGAATAGCAATATTTGAACATTATGCCAATGCTTATATATATAACCTGGGACTATTATACTATTAGTATAATAGTCCCAGATATAACTGCATACCAAATATAATGGACTTATCATAAGTAATTCCCCTTAACCGACCTAATCACTAACTTAACATGTTAATTTTAAAAAAGTTTCAAAGTCAATAGACCATGACTGAAGAGGCATGGCCAACTCCATGAAATTAGTAAATAATATCAATCAGTACACATCCAATAGATTTAGTAAAAAAAATATGCCATAAATAGTAAAAAACATGTCCTTTTGCTATGCACAAAATATATAAATATTAAAAAAAGCCAGGAGGGAATAAAGGTAAAATCCCCTTGTCAAACATGCAGTAGTGTTCTCGTACTGTACCTTTGTACAAGAACATAACAAGCTTTGTGAGTTTGGTGATATATCCAATAAACACGCTGCTGAAATCGAGCAAATGTCTATCAATTCAGAAGTCGAAGAAGTTAAACCAGTTTAAAGAGACGGAAAACCTACATTTCTTCCACGTTTAAAAGATGACCTCCAAGAAAACTATCACGACTTTGAACAGCGGTATGCGACTTTTGATTCATTCAAGGATATATCAGGTCGACATAATATTGACGACTCCAAACTTCGTTGTTACGCAGATGCCGGGTTTTATTATTTCGGAGTTCGAGACGGCATTGTGTGCTTTGAAAGTTCTTGTCGTCTCGGATTATCTGATGTGAAGGAATCTGAAAATCCATGGACAGTTCACTCCAGACCTATTTATCTCCCGACTGCCCTCATGTTATTATGAAGAAGACAAACTGATTCGATCTAGTTTTGACTACGATATTACCGAGGCATTCACTAAAATAGAATTGATTTGTAGCCAATTTGTAGGCCCACAATGTAAGATATTTTCATATTTCTGAAGTAAATGCAGAGAATATGCTATATTCTTGGGAGAAATAAAACTTGTTTGCATGTGTTTTGTATTCTGTGGTTGCGGTCATCTTGGATTTCCTATCGGAACATAATAAAACGATATAAACTTTATAGAGCACTATCCAATGAAAACCCTCCAAAGCTTGGTTTTGTTTGCTTTTGTTGTTTCAGCTAAACAAAATTGCCAAAGCGTCCTATGCTAAACTAGGTCCTGTGGTGACGGCCATCTTGGATTTTGGATCAAACTAAAAAGTACAAACTTTGTGGATTACCATCCAATAAACATTCATGTCCAACTGGCTGCAATCAGCTATGAAAAGAACAAAATTTAAGATTTTCCTTTGGCTAAGATGTTAATCCACAAGTATGTCCCACGGTGTTGGTAATCTTGAATTTCTAATCAGAACAAAAACATAAACTTTGTAGAAGTCCATCTGATGAACAGTTCTGTAAAGTTTGGTGTTGATTGGTTTTGCGGTTTCAGAAAAAGCATTTTCAAAATCATTTTGCCATAGGTATTATCAGAATTCTATTACTAGAGTCTCTAGTAATGGACTTCTGGTATTATGTTAAACTATAAGTCCAGCGGTGGCAGCCTCCAGGATTTTCCGTATCAGACCAAAAAGAAAAAAAAAATTTTTTCTGTGCAGAAAACCATCACTTTCAAAAGTTTTAACCTCAATTCGTCTGGCAGTGAACAAAGGGCTTCAACGTTATTGTGTACAATTGGTGCGAAGCACGTTGTTTCTGAAAAAATCAAAAGATCTGAATTAAACTGACATAATCACAAGCTATGTACGAGTTTCAGTCCATGTCCAATTTTTTTCAATGAATTATTTTGGGGGATATTGATGCTAAAAGTCATTAATGGAAATGATGCCAAGGACAAATGTCATACCAGATACCAGTGGTAGGAGAGAGAACATGATCCTGAATCGCTCACCTGGTAAAAAAAATCGTCATTTTAATTGATTGATTGTTGGTTGCTTAACGTCTAGTGGCAATTATTTTATACATGTTAAAGACGGGTTAATTTCTAGATTTATTTTAAACCTTTAGTGGGATCCGTTGTGTTTATCTTATGAAGTTCTTATTTAGCAGCATTTTTGTAGATCTATTAATGATAATGTATTCTGTTAGCAGTTTCTACCTATCTTTTAAAAAGAAATATTTTTTTCAAGATAGTTGACGAAATCATAATTCCTATATATATATATAAGGAATCTGACGATTTCAACCATATTGACTTTCTTGTAAATTTTACTTTGCTGACCATTTTTGCTCTTTTAAGCTATTATTTTGACAAATATGTGTAAAACTCATCATGCAGAGGCAATAAACTCCTATATAAATAGTTGGTTGACAATTTAGGTCATGTAGACTTATTAGAAGATCTTATTGTGATGAAAATTTTGCTATTACAGTTTCTATTTTGGATTCCACAAAAAATACAAAAATGGGTAAATATCATCTTACAAGAAAAAAAACTTCTCTACGAGGTCAATTGATGATATAGGCCATTCAGATTTAATTGAACGCCTTATTTTGCTGAACATTCTTGCTGTTTATTGTTTCTCTCTATTAGTTTCTGCAAAAATGGGTAAAAATTGTCTTTCAAGGGCAATAACTCTAAATTAGGTAGTCCAATTTTACTAAAAATTTCATGGTAGATAGAACTTTACCTGCTGATCCTTTTTATCCAGTAAGTTTTGCTCTAACTGCATTAATTTTTGAAAAATTAGCAAAAATGGAAATTTACACCTATGTTAACTTTTTTGCAACAGAGGCCATGTTGTTATGGGTACAATTTCTAATCTAAATTTCCTAAGGAACATTCAGCTTGAGATTGCTTACATTTCCATCAGGAGAATTTGGGGCATCACTTGGTGTCCATCGGTGTTGTGTTGTCAGTTTTAAACTTTAAAAAAGATATGTTATTGGCTACAGTTCTACAATAAAAATATAAAGCTTTGAATAACTCATTAACACCTCTATCATTACAGAGGCTCAAAAAATGATACAACGGCCCCAGGTATTCATCTAAACATACAAAGTATTCATATGAATTTGCAAACAATCTATAACCTTATAAATATTCCTTCAGAAAATATCCTCCTGCCCCAGAAATGTATGTATAAAAAATTTAATTCTAGACTTTAAGTAAATGGTAACTGCAAAAAACTATTAGTAAAATACTGTAAAATGAGTAAAAAAATCAAGCATTATGTTTTTATATTTGATTGCAA